TTACTGCGTACGACCATTAGCGACCATTATTGGCCGCTTCTCGGTCGTGATTGCACCGGTTGCGCTTTAGCGCGCACCTTCCGATCTGATATCTCGCCCTCGCCGTACACTCGAGTGCCGAATTCTCGGATGTTAACGAAGCCGACGAGCTCGTCAAGTATCGTGTATCCTGTTGATATCAGGCTGCATTTGTAAATGATACCGATGCATGGCGGATACGCGCTGGATATCCGCGAATACAGAGAGCAACGCTTGGAATATTCCTCGCCGCGCTCTCTCGGTCGATCCTTATTCCGCTCGTGAGATCATACGTGCCGGCGTTATTTGAACAGGCCGTCGCAATTTATTTGGCCGATCATTCTCGTTAATTATGCAGTTATGCGCCACGGTCGAACGACCTCGATTGCTCGCCCCGTAAGAGCGCGCCGAACGAACGAAACGATTCGCAGCCTTGGAAACGTTAACGGCGGCCGGGCGAAAATTCTCCCGCTGCTCGGCGGGCTGTAAAAAAGAGCGCTCGGTCGGCCGGCGAGATGCTGTAAAATATATTGTAAACTACGTTTACGACGCGGCGTGTCTTCGCGCGCGATGTTCCTACTCCCCGGGCACGACGCTTTAACGCTCTCGCGAATTGCTCGCTCGTTTATACTCACGCGGAGAGCCCGGGAGAGGGAAGGGGGGGAGGGGTGCATAATGCGCGTCGCGAACTCTCCGCGAGGGAGACCTCTTCCTTTCGTAATTAGGGTCGAACCGAGCAATCGGCCGACGGCGCGGTAAACGCGAGACCGCGATAATTCCCGTCGATATAAAATCGCCGGCTATTACAGAATCGTCGGATGAACGAGCGGACGCGCGGTTTACTCGCGATTATAATGCCATTAGAAAGTCGCGCTCGGCGAAACTTGTCGCGCGAGCGGATCCTTCCGGCTCGCCGGGCCTCCCGAAGTCGCGTTTAATCGCGATTGACCCTTCCCCGGTTCGGGTCGTCCGAGAATGGAAATGGACGCGTTCTGGCACGATCCGAACGCGCCCCGCTATAATTGGACCCGCGAAGGACGAGCTCCGGTCGTGTCTTTGTCTATGAGATGATTTTCGGCCGTTAAGAGCCGGTGCGATGCGATGTGCGCGAACGGGAGGAGGAGGTGCCTCGTTGAAAAGAAGCCGGTGTGATTAACGGTTTCGGATAACTCGTTTGTTTCGTAATTCACCGGCTAAGATTGCCACCTGCCGTACTTCCGTTTATATTCGACGTAACGTGGGTAAACCAACGGTGTGTAGTTTGCACGGACTGAAATAATCCGGGGATATTCAAATGTACGAAATACACGCGGAACACACACGGAGTACGTTCGTAAAGGACGATATGAGTTTGAGCTTCCTCTCGAACGCTTGTCTAATGACAATCGCGAATACGGTGGCACAGAATAGAGAAGGACGGTCTGTCAAAGAAATGTTGGACAGAGGGAGAAAATAGGGAACAGAAGGATTGTATAGCAGAGAAACAGAAACATTTTTTAACGGTTGGGGGATAGACGATAGATGACGATAAAAAAAATTTAGAAATGAGAATATAAATACAGAGGAAAGGTTGATTAGGGGGGAGAGAGAAGGATATACAGAGGCAAATAGAAGAAGGCAAAATTGTGGTAGTAAGACAGTTGTAAAAATACACACACACACATACACATACAGAAGAATAGGTCGATTCTAAATTTTGTAAAGAACAGTGTTGCGGCCATTTTACATCAATTCCGCGACATCCTGTTTAATTTGCTCGACCGGCCAACACGGTCTCTTGTAATATAGAGCAGACTATCGGCTCGGCTAACAACCAGAAGGCCAAACTGATCGCTTTGCAATGAATATTGAGAAAATGTCGAGGGAGATTGACTTGGCCTAATTTGTTAATAAGCTCGTGCACGTAACGAGCCGCGTCACGCTAAGGTGATCCCGTCGTGTGAAAGTTATCGTCGTGGCTCTCGATAACAACACAATTAGAGAGGCATCGAAAGATCGGGGCGGAGAGAGGAACATTACCGATTGCGAGGACGATAGATTTTCACTTCGGTTTCCCTGACCGCGAAGTCGCTCGTTTATCATCGCCGTCATTTTTTCTATCACGGTCATTACCACGGGTGCAGTTATGATTTTGACCCAGAGACGCGGTCGTAATAACTTTCATCGACTCAATTGAACGTCCGAACGAAATTCAATACTGTTTATTCCTCTTTCCTCTCCTCCCCGAGGAAAAATCCTCGCAGTTGGAAAGTGTCACGGGTGAAATGTATCACCATTTTTCTATATATCTGCCAGAAAACTATCCGTGGTACGTGTAATTCACAGCAGCAGCACTAATCCAATAATATGAGCGGGAAAATTTCGATCCCGCTACTGATTTCGAATAATAACTGTGATTGTCCTTAATCTGCGCTTTACAGAGGGACTTTCTTGCTAAATTAGACAAATAGTTCAGATAAAAATTCTGTCACCGCCTTACATCGATCAGATATGACACGTGTGTGACGTTAAAGTGTTCGCTAGTCATTCACCCATCTCAGCTAATTTCTCCCCGGATAATTTTCGCTATGACTTCGCAGGATCACTTTTTTCAGTGCATTATTTAGCATCGTCGTAGCTCGAAAAATATATCGCGGACACCACATGCCGTACACGTGCTTATTCCGAGGTCTCGAGCGGAGAAACTTTATATTGTGGCGCGCACGACAGCGGAAGCTCGTATATTCCAAATGGCATGTCTGGTGGTCAGTGGTCGTTATCATATGAGAATGTGACGGTTTACTTACCATGAGAAAATGGCACCGCCTGGGCGAGGGTAATCGCATGTACGCGGATTCAGACGCGCGGTTATCGCAGATGCGATTGTGTGCGTCCGCACGCGCGCGCACTCGTGCGTGCTTCACGCGAGTGTGTGCGTGTGGGTGCACGCATGCATGCGTGCGTGGAAAGAAAAAAAGGCGCCCGTTCATTATTACGAAGAAGAGACGTCGAAAGAACGGCGATCGGTGGCGCGCGGTAATGACGGGAGACGCGGGCAAATATAATAAAGCGGTTCGGCCGGCGTTAATCCGCGGGTGAAACATGCGAAATAACGTCGGCGGGAAAAGCTGCCGGAGCGTGGCAGTACGTCGACCCTTTGTGCATTATCTCCGAACGCGCCTCGTACGCTGGATTCGATTCGGAGATTAGACGCACACGCTTCTCACGGAGCGATCTTCCTGTTCGCCGACGCGTCGCGAATTCGTTTCTCTCCCTTCCTCTCGCCGTTAGTGCGATTCTCGTAAATATGTTCCGTTTCATTGTATCAGATACGAGCGTTCTCGTTAATGGGAAGCTAATTGTCGGCAATGTCGGTCAATGTGACTATTAGTGGCACAGTGAAGCCCAAGGTAACCGCGCGCTTTGCAGAGTTCTCTCTCTCTCTCTCTCTCTCTCTCTCTTTCTTTCTCTCTGAAATGTTTCATCTTGGTGTTAGTGACTTAATGAATTACTTGGATAATTAGAAAAATTTCGCTGTAACTGAATTACCGATCGGCTAAAATTGCGAAACCGCTGTTGAGAGTAAAGAATTGTTTGTCAATTAAATCCCTGAGGCGTGATCAGACACGTTAAATTGATCGGTAGATTAAGTTTATTTAATTTCGGTAGATTTAATTAATTTAATTGACTGATTTAATGGATAACTTAATCTCAATAGACTGCTTATATACACGTTTTTTTCGACGATAATACATTCCTGCAGTAAGCACGCTAACACATACTGTCATTTAAACGATACGTCCGCTGCTTACTATTTCGTATCGGCACGGTAGTTGATCGCGTAGTCGCATTAATTAATTAACTCGATAGTCTGCCGCGAGCTGCTAATTGGAGCACCAGCGAAACCAACTGTGCACACGAGTGGATCGATGAGTGTTTCCGTTATCTCGATGCCGGGGATTAAAAACCGCCGGCAGCTGTTTAGAATCGGCGAACTGCGCCCGAAGTTTTCACTCGCCCTCGAATCGAGAGCTCTTCAAATTCGTTCCTTGAACTTGAGACTTAGCTTTCCCCTGTCCTATCACTAGGTTAAAAATAAGACACATTCGCGTCTTGTAAGTATCGGAGATAAATTGAGAAATCGCGATGATTCATTTCTCTCAAAAACGCTCTTTGTAACACGGCCCGTGTAGAAGTACCGAAACTGCTTTGAAGACATTAAGTTTTCATCTCGAATTTTTATTTAAATTTATAGTTGCATTTTTAGCCGGTAGAATTCGAAAACCCGTGTGTCATAAACTTCATTCCAACTTATATCGTTCACGAATAACGATATAAAATATATTATGACGATATAAAAAATAAAAAGTTGCGGTTATCATTTAATTCATGTATGATATGTTGGACAATGTGTTAATTAGGACTTCAGAGATTGATTAATCAACGAGCTCGCAGCTTCTAAGTATTAATACACCTGCATATGTGCGCGCGTCCGCATCTGTTCAACGTCTGCAGCTGTTTATGCATATCGTATACGTACCGTATGTGGTGATGCAATTAACGACGAAGACGATTGTCCTTGAATCGTTGCCTCCTAGTTTAAATTTCAACAACGATCCATAGGAATTTCATCTAATATTATATAGCTAAAAAATTATTTAACTATAACAATGTCCCGTACGAACCCGAGTCGAAATTTTAAGTTCTACGTTAAGTCTTCAAGCGGAGAAAACAGAAATAAGTTGCCCCATGTAACAACAAAGAAGCACAATAAGCGCTCCTTTAATGGTGTACAGGGAATTTAGTCCTCCGGAGCCTGAATTTTTTAAGTCTTCAAGTGGAGAAAACGGCGATCACATCCCCGTTTGCAGCATCAAAGGAGCACAATAGAAGATCTCGGAACATTTAACGCAGAACTAAATTAAACTTAAACCAGGACTTAAAAATTCCGACCCGGAAGCTTCGGTAATTAATAACGCAAGATTCTGCTTTTCTGTTCACAGCCTGAGCGAATGTTATTTCGCGGGCAAGGGCGCAGCCCTGGTTTTGCCTCCGAACGAAAGGGCCCGGCCCTCCAGGCGAGTCTCAGCGGCAGGATGCGACATCCAGCAGCACTTGCAGTCCATGTTCTACCTGTTGAGACCCGAGGAGACTCTGAAGATGGTGAGTGCAGAACAGTTTACACGATACACTTACGGAATCGTGGTTATTAGATTTCCACGGGTGAACGACAGATACGCAACCCTTTGGCTTCGCTATATTTCCTCGCGAGAAGCCTCCCAAAATAGATCTTACTTTGCGCTTTTTTAGCAATTTGTGTGATTAACCCTTATCGGACGCTAGCTTTTTATGCGTGATTCTCACTAAGTTGTAGCTGGTTTCGGTAAATATGCGAACTTGTCACCTCCTACGTGACGTACGACCGCAGCGACGAAATATTGTTGTCACGTGAGAGGTGACTTACGACCGACAAGGGTTAACTCCCGAAGGCCAAACCCGAAGAAACAAAATACGTACGAGCCGTATGAATGATTTATCAGACGAAATTCACATAGACGGCTATAATTACTACCCACGCGTTTTCCCTGCCGCTTGTTTCCCTTCTCCGTTCGAGGAAGAGCTTTTATTCGAGGAAAATTTACGAAATCACCTCGACGTGAGATTGAAATGCTTTGTATCGGTCGTCGCATCGGCATAAATTCGCTCTCGGCGATTCCGACGACTCCGAAATGATTGAATCCGAACACGTGTTCGGTCCGCGTAAACGTCAGAGATTCGCGCATCCGAGCGGAACGTACGTTGTTAGGGCACGTCGTGCGAAAGACTGCGCTAAAAATATTTCGCGGATTCCGGGAATTGGCAATTGTAAATTGGCAGCGGTTTCGACGGTCACGTCGGCCGTGTAACGACGCGGCACCCTCCCCCCCCCCCCCCC